ATAAGTAAAAATACAAGTCTTTGCTTATTGCACGAACTGTTTGTAGGCAAAACGCCTTCGTAGCGTCCCGCAGCTTGTCGCGAAACGGTCCATGTTTACTATTCCGTAATTTCTGAAAACTAAAGGTTCGATTTATTTACCCATATTAGTTAAAGTCTTAATTCTGAAGCTTATCTGGTGTGTAAGCAATTATTATCGCGCCTTTCTTTGAAATGATCATATTAAATATTTGCATATAATGTACAGATCGAAAATTCCTGGAATTGAATAAGAAAAAACATTCCTTCTGCCGAATTCTACTTTATTTTTCCACACAAACTCCTTCAAAAGTCACATAGAATACTTTCTCAACACGCTTTCCAGTTTCCGCATTGAGCTCACCATTCTTACCTGTAGCATGGTTGTGGGATAATAGGCGCTGTGTGCGAAAACCGTAGCGGATGGAGAATCAAATCGGGACTAAAGAAAAAAAAAATTTTTTTTTTTTGCAAATTTCGATTTTATTCGTCAGCACAGCGCCCTGCAAGAGTGATGCAAGCACTCCGACGATGTTCTGACATTTTGGCAATTTTTCTGCTGAACGATTTATCAAGTTCCTAGAAATGTGATCCGATTTCCGTAAGGATTTCATCCAAATCTTAATTCTTGAAGCAATCTTTTGAGAGATTTGCAACTGATAATAGTCGTCAGAGGCGAAATCTCGTGAAAACGGTGGATGGGACCGGCCGTTGTTCTTTAATCCTAGCAATTTTGTAATTGCAACCATCGACCTCTTCCATGAACTGTCTCATAGCCAACGACCGCGGAGCTATTGATATTTTGCGAATGAGAGCTAAAGAAATGCAGCTGAAGCTGCGCAAATTATCAAGTTAGCTTGGATTAAAATGGCTGAAGTAAGCTACCAAATAGTTAAAAGTTGCTTTGCGAAATTTTGACCAAAAAATTGTAGTCGTACAAAAAACTTTCAGCTTAGGCTTGGAAGATTTATCGCACCCACTATATTTCTCAGACCTGGCTCTTTGCGACTACCACTTATTCAGATCGATGCAGTCATATCTGGTAGGTCGACGGTTCACAGAAATTGAAGATGTGCGAAAATCGATGGCAACAGACGATAGATAACGATGATGCAAGTATCGATTATTCAGCTTTGTTGTTGAATAAAGTTGAATTTTATCAAAAAATGGAAACAATTCATTTGTACACTCATTATATGGTTTTTTGGTAGTTATGCGCGAGTTCTGCATCTCCGATTTAGATAACGTTTTTATTTGGCATAAAGATAGCCAAGGTGAGATACTTAGTTTTCGTGAGTAGTTGAGTAGGTAAAAATCGTGACTTCCAAGTCAGCTTTTGTTAGCCATAACTGTAATTAGTGTTCAGTCGATAAAGGCACAATAATTACTGATTGGGAACACATTCGCTTGACTGCGGCCACAACTACCTATTTCTTTGCTTTCCCTCTGTTCTTTCTGACCGACAGCATGTTCTAGGAATAGGAAACCTCCCCTAAATTCGCCTATCTAAATATGTGGACGTAGCTACGATTTCTCCAAGGGGACAATAAACAAAGAGACCAACAAGAAAACACGTGTGTACATATAAGTGAACTGATAACGCTTTCTCAGATCGATATGTCAAAAAATCGAAAACTAAGCAACTATGGTGAATGTTAAAACTTGGGTAAACTGATATAGAACGCAAGTCATATAATATTTCTTACGTTATCTTTGACTAAAATAGTGTGGCCGGGACATTAAACACTATCATGATAGTAAAAATAAATGTCAAAATAAATGGACGTCTGTAAATGACCGAAAATGTGACCAATTTTCATAAATGTATCAGTTTTAAGATGAATGTTCAAGTTTCACTTGAAGTCGAAAGTAGCACATTGGGACGTGTGCATTACTTTAAAGCGGTAGCGGGTATATTGGTTTTGTCAATACGCTGGTAACATCCAGAAGGAGACCCCTGAGACTTCATGAAGCGTCCATACTCTTGATCAGCATGAAATTCTAACATGCCTCTCCGTGTGCCTGTACGTCCACCTAAAAGAAAGAAAAAATCTTTCGGTCGTCAAAGCTAAGGTACTGATTTAAAATTTAGTCAAACGGCACGCTTACCAATAAAATTTAAACAGAGAACGGACGCTTCTGCTTTGCGAAGTAAATGAAGTGAATTACTTGCCTAACAATGGTAAAAATCGCTCACCCAACATTACGCGGTGTTCGAATGAGTTCTTTTCTTTCTTTTTCTTCTAATTTTTTTGTTTTTCTTTTGATGAAAGGTGATGGGTATGATAAATTCGTCGACAGCCAAATATAATTTTCTTTTTTCTTCTTTTTAAATACTTTTTATGTACTTCGTATACATTTTTCAGGAACGCGTTAAGAGTGTGGGCTAGTTTTCAACACATCTACTCAAGTGTTTTACATCTTGAGAAATACAAATGAAAAGCATAAAAAGAAATGATTTCACTAGAAATTACGCAATTTTGACAAATTTGTTTTATTTTCAAGCGTGACGTCTCAAAACAAACATAGAAACTGTTTTCGGTCTAAATTGAATTTTGAACACTACGCATTTATTCGTATATTGCTTAGGTTGACGATTGTCAAAACACAGAGTTTCCCACAGCGTTTGCAAAGAATATGATTTGAGCGTTATATGGAAGAGCGAGTTTTGATTCTTGGCATTCGTTCTTCGATACTTTTCCATCAATAATTTAATTCATCACGTTATGTAGCCGCTTTATTTACCTGACCTGCTTCACTTCAAATTGTCCTCGAAACCCCCCAAAAAAAAGTGCTCCGTGGGCTTTGCATTGAGTCAGTGCTAATGAGTTGAATGAAAGTAATAATATTAATCTGGGGAGATGTGTACATATATATATATATATATATATATATTGTTTTCCGTTGGCCAGCCAAAAACGTGCTTCCATGGATAAGTGTGGATGGATTGGTGAAAAAGCTTCACTACGTTTAGTAGTACAATGATTACGGCATTATTTTGTCCTTGGACCCGTTTCACAGCTTCGATTTGAACGTGAATTGTGCTTTCGATGACAATCGTTTTCTTGTAGCGCTGATATATATTGAATTAATTTTTCCAATTGAAAGTGGCTGGGCATGGATTAGATTTGATGTTACAAACCGAATGAAAAACCAATATTTTATATATTTTACGGTAGAAAAAGATATTACGAAAGTGATGGGAAAACGTTTTCCAAAACTTTAAGGGGAAAAAAGAGCCGTTACTATACACCAGCCATTACGAATGCATTTTAACAATAGCAACAAAAGCATAGTTAAAAAGTACTTGTGTATACACTAAACGATCACCGACGTGCGACGTGCGACGTGTTCTTTGCTTTAACATGAAATTTAATGAAAAAGTACTCGAATCATTTGAGACATGGTGTGCGTCTATGCATTGTCATTACTTGACTTTACCAAAGTATATAACGCATGAGGGACGTAGTGTAAATATTTTCGAAAGTGAAATAAATTCAATGAAAAAAAATTAATCATATATTTTTTTGGCAATTTTTTCTCAGGGACTTTAGAAATTTCCTTTTTGGACTCAACTTTCGCGTATAATTTGCGTACAAAACACTTGTCTCCAAAACTAGTCGTGCTATTCAAAAGTACCCGTGTATTGCCAGAAAAGTTTTATATATGTGTTGTCTACTTCCTTGGCCACGTTAAGAGTTCCAACACGTTGGGCTCCTATGTCGCATAGGGTTCAAACTATATTATTTGACGTTTTAAATTAAGGTGCCGGAAACAAGTAAAATAGTGCCGAAGGTTGAAGCATTCTTGTGGCAAACTCTTGATACGATTAAAAAAGGGGGAAATCTGTTTATTCCGAAGAATCTTTTGTTTATAAGGGGGGGCATAAGTCTGGCACTTGGAACCCCTCACAACGATAGCAGTCGGAAGAGTCGGCTGAGCCTTAGCATGACTTGCTTGTCTTAAGGTTACTGCGCTTAGTCTTCTACGATTTAACCACCTTTCCAGGCAGAAAACGATCATGTAATACTGGCGATAGGGCTTTGTGGATTAATTTTTTTGCCAGCAATAGTTTAAACTTTGCCTTTTTCGTATTGGAAAGGTAAGCATTTCAGCAAGTCGGGTTTTGCTGTTGCCTCTACACCAGGAGAGTGAGGAAAAAAAGGATTATTATTGTGGCTGAATCTGTGAAGATATTGCTAAAAGCAGCCACGACGGCGAACCATTTCTGTAAGAAAGTAGTCAGTGTTGCCTTGCTATCTTGTTACATTTATCATTTGCGCAAAGCATCTAGGCAAAGGTGTCCCATCTCTTCCGCTGTATGATATAGCGTCACACGTAGATTTTGGAGTACCTTTTATTCCGAAGTGTACTTAAAAATGAAGCAAGCTTAGGAGAGTATTTTTTTTTTTCAATTCTTTATCGTTTCGTAATTCGTTGCGAAAAGAAAGCAGAGTATGTTAACAATCATATATCAGAGGATTAACTTACCGATCTCTTCCGAGACTGACCGCGAAAATTTTACTATGGGTTACGATGCTACACAAAATTGTCTATAAAATTTACAAGACTTTCCCATCACGACATGTGGTTGGTTGTCGCATGGATTCATAATTTTCCGGTACTACCAAGTAATCTTCGAAGCCGATATTTTCATCAAGACCAAGTAAAACACCTTCCATCACAAGAATAAATTAAAAAGAAATCAAAACAATATCGCCGCGGAAAGAAGACAACATGTAACGGGTTTTACGGCCTAACTAAGAGAAATGAATGAATGAATGACAGCAAGAAAGAATTTGCTGCCCAGCGAAGCGAGCGTGTCTACAACTGGATTTCCTCAAATTACATTTTGATATGCGTTAGTCAAAAGAAAACTCAAAAAATTATAAAAAATGAAAGTTAAAATGAAAACAGACCAAAAATGTGTTTTTGTGACGATATCACTGCCTTGTTTTTATTTTTTTTTTTTTTTTCGGAAAACATTCTTTCTTCTAAAAGCATATCTGTGAAGCTGTCGGTAAGTTTAGCTTGATTATGACATATTTCACTCGTTCACTTACAGTTTAATTTTCGTAGTGCTCGCAATAGCAGTTAAATAATAATAATAAAAAAAAAAAAAATTATTTATATTTCACAAGTGAAAATTAGTATTTACAGATAGAACTGAAATTTGATCGAAATTGGTAGGGATATTATAAAAATATCGAAATTAAGTGTTAGTTCGAGTAATTTTTTTATTTGGTGTCAATAATTATCTTGGATTTTAATAACGCATTTTTCGATTCCTTGTAAATATAGTAGATTATGCAACGTAACTTTTGGACAGTAATTGTTCATTCAAAGTTTTTCAAACCTGATTCAGTTTGCAAAGAGAAGAAAGAAATTTTCAACAGCATTACGACTTTTAATGAGAAAGCCCATGTCGTTGGAGACACTTTGGGTTTTCTCTCCGCTACCAGAGAACTGAGTAGATTAGAGTTACGACTGCCTAGTAGGCGTTCATGGGTACAGATGTGGGCGCAGCTTGACCTTACTTGGTCGATGGCTATTGAATGCGCTCAGTCACTGAGGGCATAACGCTTAGTTATTAGGATGCATATTCACTATCCAGCGTCCATTCACCCCATGTCTTTCTCTACTTGTTTCCAATCACTATCGTGTTACACGAATGTACGACACATCCTGCACGATTGATCTTATTTAGATAAAAAAACCGTATAAGAAAAAAGATAGGTTATTAATTAGGTCCCACGGATATCTTTTAACAATAAAACTTTTATAATCCATACTTCGTGTTAAGAAAACTTAGCGTTGTAGGTGAACAGCGGATTTCTGCTTTTATTTTGTTCTTAACTTTCATCCAGAAGAAGTCATCATTTTGCATATAGTGAACGTGCAAAGATTTTCTAATCACTCCCAAACAATCAGTTAAAAAATCGGATGTGTATCATTGTGAATATTATGGCATTCATTGCATGTGTACAATCATACCATGACTACTCTGACAAAGTATTCCTAATGACATTTCGTACATCGTAACTAATTTTCAAATTACTTAACTTTCACTGCAATTTTTGTGGCCAGTGTTAATAGATGTAGTTTCAAGCGGCTACTCCAAATTTGATATGTGGTCTAAGGTGGATAACACATCACTTAATAAGTCTCTGACGTAACTAAGAAAAGCAAGTTTTCTTTTTTGAAAAATCGACTCTGCTCTAAGGGCAAGCAATTCAAACGCGCTTCTGGTTTTTCCCTTTGCCACTTTTTAAGCTAGTTAATGTATATTACATTATGCGCATCCTAAAATACGGATGCCGTAAGCCTTCCCGCGGATTTTTTGCAATTTTGTTCGCCTTCGACGACTTTCATCGAGTGCTGTTCACTCAGCTGAAGTTCCTTTTAACTCAGATGCGTTTTAGTGCGTCTATATTTTATTTATTCTCACACACCGACACAACATAATCTTTTCAGCTCGCTTATTCAGCTTCTAACAGTGGGTTCAACAGCTTAAATATGAGCAATGTCTTTACCCACTACGAGTAGAGCTTTCGCATTGACAAATGCTCATGCAAAATAGTAAACATACTGCTCTCTATTTTGTCTTTCATGTTTCGGCTATCTCAGGTAACTTCAATTTTCTATCTTCGACGACGATTTGTGCGCTTTCTGTATGCCTTCTGGAACAACAGCCGGTTTTGGGCGACCAACGCACCATCGATGTTTATTCAACCGATACCAACTCATACAGAGTCCCCATAATGCTTATCAAAGCACTGTTTAGCTTTAACAATATTTTTCCTCGTCCAAAAGTAGTTCTGTTTCATCCACTGCTCTTTTAAAATTAAAAAACTCGTGGTCGCTCAAACCTTTACAACGTGCAAGCTAATTGTCAGAATGTCGTGAAATTGTGACAAGTACGGCTTGAAAATTGGTAGTATCCCAAAACCATACAGATGTTTGAACGGTATTTCAATGCATGTGTCAGAACGTGGGCTCATTGGTTGATGTGTTAAGTTTAGGTTAAGTTAAGATGTGTGGTTCCTTGTGCAAAATATATTAAATTTTCGATTTTTATGTATTAACCTTTTCATTATCTTAGTCAAGGTGAAAGAAAATATGAACCTGATATTTATAGTTCAGTTTTTTTTATTAATCATAAATCAAGGGCTCTGTAGAACGAGGTGAGTTATTATAAGCAAATCTTGAAAAAAGAAAAGAAAAGCCAATGAAAGTCTCCGTTCATTTGTAGTGGTCAATGGGTTTGCATAGAGGAAAGACTTTGCATTGCTGAGGAAAGTGCTTCATTTTGCCCTAATAAAACGTTTGAAAGTCAACAAGATTGTCGGTTATCGTGTGGCAAATATGGAGCCATTTGGCCAATGCCAACTGGTAATTGCGAACTTGGAAACGATCGCGTGCATTTCAGTCCTAAGAATGTCAAAATTATTCTAATGACTAATAGTTCAACGATTGAAGACTTCTTATATACAACAACTCGTTTGTTTGATCGCAATATCGCCAAAGAGTGCATGCAAAATTGTAACTTGGAGAAAAGTGCCGAAGTGATAATATACGCAGCCGTAAACTCTACAAGCTTGACATTAGGTTGGGATACCAATGAAGCGTACTCTCTACGCGTGAACACAACAGGTGACGATGTGTTATTAGAAATGCATGAAATACTAAACTATGAAGTTATTATTAAAAATTATTAAAGGAAATGTTAGCCGTATTGAAATTAAAGCCGCAACGGTTTATGGTGCCAGGCATGCTTTCGAGACACTGACCAGTTTAGTAACGAGTAGCAAGTTGTAAGCTTTAAAATTCAAATTAAATTTTGAAAGCATTTTATACCAGATGTGGATTTTTTTGTTTAGGAATGGATTATTATTAGTCAACTCGGCTTACATAGATGATAGTCCTACGTATGGCCATAGAGGTTTATTACTGGACACGGCGAGAAATTTTATTCCCTTGCGCCTAATACATAATACAATCGATGCAATGGCCGCCTCGAAGCTTAATGTTTTCCATTGGCATGTAGTAGATACGCATAGTTTTCCACTTGAAATTAGTAGAATTCGGCAAATGTCTGAGTATGATTGAGATCGATTTGTTATCTTTTAATTAACGGTGCTTTTCTAGGCACGGCGCTTATTCCGCATCGAATACGTATCGACGAAATGATACAATTGATTTGATTAAGTACGCCCGGGCGAGAGGGGTGCGAGTAATTATCGAGATCGAAGGTCCATCGCATGTTGGTAAAGGTTGGCGGTGGGCTTCAAAGGCTGGCTTAGGTCATGTAATAATTTGTACGAATCGAGAAGACTGCCATAATCCTCCTTGCGGTCAATTGAATCCATTTAACCAAAATGTGTACATGTTAACAAGAGCGATCTATGAAGATATAGCGGAGATAAATGCACCGGAAGAAACTTTGCATATGGGAGGTGATGAAGTTTTAATGCCCTGTTGGAACAAATCTAAAGAAATACGAAAAATTATAACGGGAGGTGGATTAGAACTAAGCCTTCAAACCTTTCACAGTCTTTGGTCTGTATATCACAAAACGAACCTAAAGTCATGGAATGAAGTAAAGCGACGAATATTTCCGAAAATTGAAGAAGTTAAACCTGTTATTATTTGGTCCAGTGCTTTAACCGAATCCGAAGCAGTTGAACATTATTTACCTAAAGAACAATTTATTGTGCAAACACGCGTTGATGCAAATTCCACTTTAAATACATTGCTCGCGAACAAAGGGTACAAAGTTATAGTTTCCAGTAGTAATGTCTGGTATTTTGGTCATGGTTCTGGTGAAAGCTCTGTATATCACAATTGGAACAAAATCTACGATAATAGAATTGAAACGCATCCGAATATATTAGGGGGAGAGGCATGTATGATGAGTGATACAGCTGATCGATTTGCTATAGGTGAGTATGGACGGAACGAACAACGAACTTAAATCTAAAATTTTTATGCATAAATATTGATAAGAAAGCCGCATATGGCCACGAGCTGGCGCTGCTGCTGAACGTTTATGGTCTAACCCAAGCAGCACTTCTCAACAAGCTAAGTATCGTTTCTACCGTTTTAGGCAACGGTTAATCTCAAGGGAATTGCGTCCGGATGCTGTTGCACCAAAGTATTGTGTCTTACATGAAAATCAGTGTCAATAGAACTGCTTTCGTATCGATAAAATAAAAGTCAAGACTTGAAAAATAACCATCGCAGTTTTTTTTAGATTTCGTATATCTGTTTATCGCTGACATAGTTCGCATCCACGCAGCTTTACCATGAAAATATTTGCGGGCAATGAAGAACTCCTCCATATTCATATATTTTTAATCAGCGATCAATTCTAAAACGTGAGCGGAATGCATTTCGTTAAAACTAGGACAAAAAAGTGCTAGGAATGGGCAGAAATTATCAAGATTTACGCTATCATCATCGTAGCATAACAGTCTTTATTTCCAGCAATGTTTTATATTTATAAAGTGTGTTCCAAAATTTACGCAAGATTTGAATGTTACGCCATTTGTGCGGTAAAGAGTTGACAACCAAAAGAAACAAACGGAAAACAAAAACAGCTTGATAGTTGACAGTTTAGGCTTAGCACAAGTGAAGCATTACACGGCAGAGCTATCTTTCAAAAATAATGAAAGTTTATGGCTTGTGTTTCCTGCGAAACAATTCGATTACTCCATGAAGTATTCCCTTGTCGTGTACTATCCCGTTATGGTCACCACAATTTCGATAATAGAGTTTGTAAGTGCCGTGGACATAACTCCATCCCACGTACATTACGATTCAATAAATATTTTACATTTAAGAAAAAAATCTGCTTCTTATTTAACTTCAAATCTTTCGTAAATGTTTTGACACCCTATACATATATATATGTTATGGTAAGTTATTTGTATATTTCTATTCGCGTAGCCATGTAGATAGGAGCGACTGCCAAGCCTTTGTTCGCGAGTTCAAGTCCTAGTGATGCTTGTGACCACGCCTTCTCATAATACACACATCCATTAGGGTATGGACACAACTTATTTCCATAACATCACTTTGTTACACTTACAGGGAACATCTCCTAGGCGATAAGTTATTATCTAAAAAAGAAAACAAATCATCGCGTTTCTCTGGAATTGTCTTAAAAAACTACTACTACTTGTTATGATATCAGATATGATATCAAACCGCTTTTCCATGAAATGGTCAGAGAATGTACACGTCCCTCGATTGAGGAGGTCATTGCATTTACTTGCTAGGATGTCAACTTTCGCTTTCGAACAACTGATTTCCTGATGTATAAAATGCTGCTGCAATCTGTTTAATGCCCACAAAATCGAGCAAAATGTTGCTGGCCGTTCCATAAGAACCGACGGCGTCTAAAACGTAAAATCAAATGCCTATGTCTCTCCACATCCGCATGTGTACAGCTGTGTATCGTAAAAATCGCGACTCTAAAGTGAATGTTCCCGGGTTCAATTTTCAGTGCGGTAGAGGTTTCTTTGATCGTAATCGTAGTGGGCGTCTACTCCTTACAGTCATAACGTAACATTTATCGATTGAGTACACTTACACGCTTAGGCTGCGCCCACCATTTCCCTATTTCTTCCTATCTTTCTTTTCCTTCACTTCTTTGTTGGTCCTATCAAGTTCAAAAGATGATTTTCGTAATTTGCTTCTTTAGTTTAGTTTACCCTAGGCAAATGACGTCGCTAGAGGGCCACAAGGAGAAATTAAAATTCTGATTGGATGCTACACACTAACACATACACCCTTCGTCACTGACAGATCATCAATATCGACCTTTTCAGCATCTTTGAACAGCGTATAAGGAATTTGACTGCAGGCACACAATACAAACCCAACTCTAGATACAACTTTAGATAGATAAAAAAAAGTGAAATGCTAAAGGAAAACTAATGTAAAAGGTGCTATCGAACTACTAAATTAGCATTACAATATGGATCTAATATGGCTTCGTAAGGAAATCAAGGAAAACTTAAGATTTTATTCTCAATTCCGTGTAAGCGTTTTACCGTTGACCAACACGTTCCTATATACTTGCCAGCACAAAATAGAGTGTACAAGATTTCTTCAAATGCAAAGATAAGCTGTAGTTGAAATAGTTACAGGAGACACTTTCAATCGGCCACATTTAGACCATATTTTTGCTAGCCTTTACTTTTTCTAACTTATGTGATTTTTTTCTTTTTCAATTCTCTACAAACTTATGCAAAATTATTTGAATTATCTATCATAAAAGAGGCGCTGGCAAGCTCTTCATAGTCGCATAAGCCATTTTTCCAATTGACCTTTCAATTGTTGCAATATCTGTTTAATTGTATAAGGTCAGGCTAGATAACAGATATTTAGTGATCGAAACTTAAAATAAATATTATTTAGCTAAGTAATATTTTAGAGGTTGGATAAAAAGCTTATTCTAGATGCTTCTTATTGTGAATATATTTTTTCCAGTGTTGTTTCCATTAATTCGGATTAACCAGAGGATTATACTAATCCCCTTGTAATGCCACTATAAGAAGGGGTTTTATTGCAGCATTTTTCCGGACAATAAGCCAAACTTGAAGCGGTACAAAATGACAACACCTCAACTACGTTAAAGGCCCATTAATGCGAAAGTGAAACACTGAAACGTTCAATGACTTTATTACTTTTCGCGAAATAAGAAAAATAAGTAAACTTAGCTCCAGACATCAAAGTGCTTAAAAAGTAATTTAAGAAATGGAAGAAGTAAAAAAACGAAGACGAAAGAAAATGCATTAACAGCGAATACCAACAAGGTTGCGCCGAAACCTATATTGCAAGTATTTTTATCTTTACCTTTCCATAGTCATTGTGTAAGCGGTGTGTGTGTGTGTGTGTATGTATCAGTGTGTGTATAAATGTGCACGTTAATAACATAAAAATTGTCAGCAAAAGAGCAGCAAACTAAAAGTTTAAGCTCACTTTATATTCATAGGTGTTTGTTTGCGTGTGCGCTCGCCCATATGCGTGGCTGTGTTTGTGTTTATATGTTTGTGTGTATGCGTGAGTGTGTAAATAATGTGTATCCATGGTATTGTCTGACAAGCACATAACCGCTGCAGTTGTGTTAACAACTTGTCATTAAGTTTTATTGTTATTTAAATGATTCTTTTTTATGTTCAATGCAGTTTTCCACACTTCTTCTACTTTTCTTAATTCATTATATATGTATTATGTTTCTCGCTTACACTTATTTAAATATCGTTTAACAAAGTAAAGTATATACATGGCTTACCTTAGTTATATAACGTATTGCATGGGCATCAGCCCATTTTCAACAGATAAGTAAATAAAAAAATAAATATCAAATATATTTTACGCTTCTAATGTTTGAGTTATTAGTGAGGAAAGGTCTGCTAAGGTAATTATCTAAAGTAATTACGAAATTGGAAAGAAAAACAAACAACAGACTTGTGATAACATAAGTGCATACAATGTTATGCTGGCCGATATCATGTGCTTGCTGATTTGTATCGTAGCACAGCTGGATCATGCTTCGTCGTACCAGTAAAAGCAAAAAACTTACCCGCTATGTTTGCTGTCATTCTCTATTTCTTTGTGCTTCCCACTTCTTTCCAATCAAGACCGTATTACACATATACAGACATCCCCGCCACATGACGATTCTTCTGAATCCCATTACTTTCCCGTTTACCTGGTATAAAAAAACTCTTTTTTGCATGTTATTGCAATTTTGGAAGGTAAGCGCATCTATTTTGACAAGTCCTCGCGTTAAAATTAATGCCTGGATCCAGAGATACCGTTCAAATCGATTGCTGGATTGAATCGCTTTGACAGGAGGACGATATTTGGCGTTTAGTAGGATCGCAAATGTGTGGTATGCTAGTAGCAGTGAATTCTAGTGAATCGGTTGATATCAAATGCTGCCACCGGCAAAAATTTGAGATTACTCATGACATCCGTTCATTCAGCAAAACCGGTTGCGGTGCTTCGGAACCACTCAAGTGAGAGGTGCCAGCCCATGTGATTTACTCATCAAAGTCGATTTCTTCCGATTACCAATTAATTGCATCGTAATACATTAGTTTTCCGTATATGCTTATTTATTTATTTCAATTCTACTTATAAAAGAAACTCAACTAAACAAATAACAGTCGAGTTCAATTGGCACTTAAATTAAAGCAAAACTTATTGCAATCCTTATATTAATTAATATTAAAACTTAGTATAAGTACAATAAAACAAATAAGAAGGAAAAAAAAAAAGAAAAAAAGTTTGTACACAACCAGCATAGAGCCACACTTACAACCGGTACAGGACCAAATTGCAAATGAACCCCTAAGCCATCGCAAACATGCATACGCTTGCTAGTTTATAAACTAAACTAATTCTTCATTCAATAGCACACTTGTTTTTAGTTGATCTTCGCTAGATAATCATCGTTTTCGCGGGAGCTTCCTATAAGCACTACAGTTCCTTCTTGGCAAATACGAATCGTAACAAATTCGCTGTTAATAGGCTTCGGTTCTCTAACACATTGGCAGGCGCTTGGAGAACTCTGCAGCCAAATCCGCATGAGCAACCGAGTAGGTAAGAATCACGAGTACCAACACAATACCCTTGCATTCAAATCATGATGCGGTAGAATTTACTCTGGCCGTAATTATTTGGAGTGCACAGCGAAGCTCGAGCGTTCCGTAAGGGCATATTATAATCCCCAACGATCAGGCATACACACCCACTCCCTAAACCATCTTTCTATATTGTTTCTCTTTTTCCACTTTTCTCTGACCGTCACCGCTCTATACGAATAAGGGAGCTAAAAGTCTGACCTATTGAATATTTTATTTTGGTGAATACCTTCGTTACTCGTTCATGGTAATAAAATTTAAAAATTCCTTCAAACTTTCTTAACATTTTATGTAAGTGTACATGTAAGCCATCGAAGCATTCACCAAAGAAATAAAGTAATTTGTTTTTTAATTGTCTAAAAATATGAAATGAATTCGAAATTGTTTTGTGTGGTTAAGAGAGGAGACAAAGGCAATGACTCAGAAAGAGAAAAATGCGTGAACGTGCTTACAGCATTTAATTGCCTACAAAGTGACGAATAAAAGCCACAATTTCTTTTGCTTTTGTATAAAATTTCAAGCACATTTTG